GCGGTTGGGGCATTCCCATGACGGCGTATGTAAGCGCTAACGCGCTTCAGTCTAACATCTATGCGTCCTGCATCTCTCCGTCTCAACCTACGCGGATCAAATGAACAGGCCGTTACAGTACAGATTCGTAGAACTTGAACCACGCGGTGGCGCGCGGTGACTCGCTGTTAAAGTTCTTGCGCGCGGGTCGGAGCGCGCCGCGCGGTGCCGCGCAGTACCGTTATGTGGACGATAAAGCTGCGTAATCATAAGGCAACATTTGTGTATAAACACTGTTTATAAACAGTATTTGACAATGTTGCATCACCTCCATATACAATCTAGAAATTGTTTATAAACAAAGATGATGACACATTGTTTCAGATACATGTTGCCGTGTTCTCCACTCTGAATGGAGAGCAAGACGAAACATTTAGTTTATAAACAAAAGTTGACAGGTGTGGAATTTAATCATGGGCGTAGAGTTGTCCAATGACCAAGCTTCGATGCTCATACTTCTGGTATAATCCTGCTGATAATTTTGATACCTTAAAAGTGTATGTAAGTGAGACATGGGTCACTTGATGCAAGAAATCTTAAAGTAATAGCTTATCTTCGCTGGACCTGAATAGGATTCCGAAATTTCGTTCTCGGTCTTGTTATTGATGGCCTAATCAATCTCAATAATATTTCAAAATCAATTTTTGACATTCTAGTGAAGTTATGAAAAGACCCATCAAATCCACGAAGGTCATCAAATACATAAATTCCATTTAAAACCACCACCTTTTCCATTAATTTCTGTAGTACTCTCATGAATTACTAAGTAAGTAGCACAGAGCAACACTACCTCCTCGGGCAACATCCTAGCAACAACTGGCTAGTGCAGACGGCAAAGTTTCAGAAACAGTGTTTACGGAAAACTTGTTTATAAACAAGCTGATGAACTTCATTAACATATGTTGCCTGATAAATACGCGGCGTTATAGCTGTTTGTTTTGATCTTGTACCGCGCGATAGGTAGTCCCACGCGGTACAATACGGTCATATGAACTTAGCCTTAGGCGATGATATTAGTTATTATATATTTATGATATTCGAGTGTCACAAGGAGGCGCACGCATTCTAAATTTGAAATTAATTTCTCGCGCTTTCTATACAATTTTCTGTGGATCGTGTTTTGTTTTCAGGTTTTCAGTAAAGATTTGCAAAATACGTTGTTGTTACTTCGTTTAATTTCAATTGTTCCTACGAATGAAGACAAAATACTGTATGCAACTGCATGTATAACTTACGTATTAAAACACCCCTTCTTATATGACAGTTGCATAAACTACTATTCTATATATTTTTAACAGTATCCTATTGTAGCCCCTGTATTCCATAACACCACGCGGCCCTGTGCGGATTGGCGGGTGCTAACGACTGCAGATGCAGCCGGTACCAACGGCCTAATGTGCCTTCCGAAGCACGGAGGAACTTGAAATAGAATGTTTTTGGTCACCCATCCAATGCCGACCACTACGAAAGTTGCTTAACTTCAACGATCGCAGCCGAACGCGCTAACCACATGCGCCCTCGAGCTTCTCCTAAACCTTATACCTCTTTATTAATAAATGAGGAATAAGCTTTGACGAGCTATAAGGGGGAAGTGCTTACTTTGGGATTAGATAAATTTACTATAAATATTAAATGAGGGTTTATTTTCTTGCTTAAAAACAAGAACAGATTTAATTAACTTGTTTTTCCTTTCTTAGAAATCTTCGATTTGTGTTGAAACTTCAGTTCATGTTCATGTTAAGTATATTTATTTAAGTTATTCTTTGAGACAGTAATAAACATGGCCGTACGACGCCGCTGACGAAATTAAATATTCGATTTTGGGTTCGAGTCCCGTTCCGTCTGCTGCCTGGTCCGCGTGGATTTTTTTCTAGTAAAATTTTCTTTGGAATAAAAAATGTTTATGTTTTCTAAATTCATACTTTATAATAATAATTTCCATGCTTTTCACGTTTAAGGAACTTGGGACAACTCTCTGCTTGTTATAGCAACAGATACACAAATAAGACAGCAAACAATCACAATGGAGTTGTAACAAGGTTTCAAAGTAATTCAAAACTTAAGTTACATTTCAATCAGATTGAGCCCCGGTTATATTCCTCTGACTTTATTTCGATTATTAATTGTTTATTTGTAAATTGTAAAATGACATATTATGCTTCTCACACACTACGCGACGAAGCGTTTTGTGGCTTTAGTACTAATTGCGTTAAAAATAGAATTCGAAATTTGAATTGGTTTTGTTGTTATAAATTGGCGGGATGTGTGTCTATAGTATAGACGCTAGACGATAGTTTGTTTGTACGTGTAGCTGAGGGAGCGTACTTAATCCAAATTTCGAACGCTATTTTAGTACCAAAGCCATCAAAAGCTTCGTCTCGTAGCATAAGCATATACTCTCTTCTCCTAGCTCGTTTCACTTTTGTCAGTGTTTTCGTGATTGGAAAGACGTTCAGGTTTGATGTTAGTTGAAAGCCTTGTATCTATAAGTAGACCGCTTAACTGAGTCCTCGCCTGCGGGGTAAAGGTACGGGCGGCGGGCGCTTGTAATTTTACAAGAATGTACATCTCACGGTCCCTCTTCTTCTCCTGTCCCACACCCTTTACCCACAGGCGAGGACTCAATCAAGCGGTATAATTGTTCTTCATGGGAATCTTCTGGAATCTGACCATTTTGGATGCGTCGGGTGCGCATCCCGTTGACAAAATCGATGGTCGACTAAGGTCATCTATCACCTATAGGTATAGGTACAAGGCTTTCAACTACTCAAGGGTACGGGGAAGACGAGAACGGAGGCCGTGAGAGGTGCGAGCCGCGGGCGCCTGCAATATTACAAGAATGTGCCTGCCACACGCACCTCTCACGGTCCTCAGTCTCGTCCACCCCCACATCTTTTACCCCGCAGGCATGGACTCAGTTTAGCAGTCTACTTATCATCATCATCATCAGCCTATTAATGTCCCCACTGCTGGGGCACAAGCCTTTCCTATCTATGGAATAGGGAGATTGGGCCGTGACCCACCACGCGGGCCTGACTGATAACGACTGCAGATGCAGCCGGGACCAACGGCTTAACGTGCCTTCCGAAGCACGGAGGAGCTCAAGACAGAAGATTTTTGGTCACCCATCCAATGACCGACCACTGCGAAAGTTGCTTAAGTTCAACGATCACAGCCGAACACGCTAACCACCTGCGCCATCGAGCTCCTCAATCTACCTATACTAGGCAACAATTGACGCGCAACACATATCGCTCCAATTGTTCTGCACTACACTAATGCTGCAAGATTAGGATCTCGCTGTCCCCAAACCCAGTAGCGCCGTAAAGGTGATCTGCGACCAATAGCATACACACTCAAAAAAAGTCGGTCACGGAGGTCGTCCTATATTTATATGGATATAAATATAGTATGTTTTTTTCTTAATACACAAAATCAAAAAAACCTTATCGGACTCAATAATACATTGCTGCAATTGGACCTTAATAAGTCTAAAGGTACTAAAAGTCCATTATATTCAATCCGCTCATAACTTTACTATTCGCGGAAAAGTTTAGCAGGTGGCTAATCTTTTCAGCCCCCATTCTAGCGTGATAATGTCTTTAAAAGTAATATTCGGAACAAAGCGAAAACTTATTCCTACGTTACTGTTACAAGTAGGTATCTTTTAAATCTTGCAGTAATTACTTTCTTTCAAAAAAAGAGGCAATTTTGTTTTATACATTTATGGCAAGAGACCTTGTACTGATAATAACTGGCAAGTGCTGCTGATTTCTTTGTACTTTATTTCTACAAGATAGTATACTAACATTAAGTGATGTCAACGTTTAAACACACGTAAACAGGCCAGAAAAAAGTAAGAGAAAAAAAGCAAAAGATTATCATCATCATCATCAGCCTATTAAAGTCCCTACTGCTGGGGCACAGGCCTTCCCTATGGATGGAATAGGGAGATTGGGCCGTGACCCACCACGCAGGTCCAGTGCGGATTGGTGGGTGCTAACGACTGCAGATGCAGCCGGGAAAAACGGCTTCCGAAGCCGTGCCTTCCGAAGCACGAGGGAGCTCAAGACAGAAGATTTTTGGTCACCCATCCAAGGACCGACCACTGCGAAAGTTGCTTAACTTTAACGATAGAAGCCGAACGCGCTAACCACCCGCGCCATCGAGCCAAATGTTATGGTTTGTCAATAAGATAACTCTAGCCTTCCCTAAACGGAAGGATTAAAGAAACAAACATTAACCGTCGCAAAGTTTACTAAAATCCCAATATTTTTATATTCATTATAAACTCTATTATGGTATGTGTACATAGACACATTAGAAAACAAAATGTACTTTAATATGTTAAAGTAAACGGCCGCTTAATGAGTAAGTACATTAAAATTCATGTCGTTTCGTACATACAGACCTTTTTTTCGTAAGTTTAAACCGCACTGTTTGAAATTCAGGTCAAGTGCAAACACTACGCGTATGATGAGGATATTTCATGAAAATTTGAAATAATTAACATTTAGACGTCTTCTTAGATAAATAACACGAAAATAATTCATAATAATTACCTACTTATATTTAAAGTGATTTGTAGATTATGAATTAAATATTCTTTTTAATTTTTGTTTTATATTTTATATAAAATATAATAGAAAAAAGTAACGATTATAATTGCTTATTCATATATAATTATCATATTTTATCCATAAAAAATGTGAAGTACCTATATATAAAGTATATGTAAGGTTGCAAGTTTTTCTTGTAAATAAACAAATAAGAGAAAATTGGAAATAAAGATTTTGGTTTTTTACAATATACAATTTTTTCTTCAATTGAATTATATATTTTTTAATATTATTAATTTTAATATTTTGTCAACATCATCAATTAATTAATTTTGCTTGTATTATACAGTTAATCGATTCATAAATAGCTACGTTTATTGCATTAGCTTTCTATTCACTCACCAAAAGCCCCGTTGATGAGGTGCGATTAAAATTTTCCAAGCCAACCCGACCGTATCATAAATCACCTGATGCTTACAAACTTTGTTCACACCATTCCTTATTTATATCCCAATAATGACCCAATTATGAAATTTTAATTAATAACTTTTGTTCAATAACTTTTTACAAACTGTCTGGAATCAAAACTTTTTTAAAACATCGCACTAAAAACTAAAACTCCCCACAGACGAATGCTTTATAACTTTTAAATTCAGAACTATTCAAATTCGAATCAGCCATGCACTCTTTTCAAAAATTTAGAATCAATAAATAGTAATACTAAATTTGAATTTCAAATTTGGAAACTACGTTTCGTATGCTGCGAGCGAAGTTGCGCGCATCCTGATGCGTCCCCTGATAGGCGACCACGCGACGGAGTCTCACAGAATGGACTGGAGTCGCACGTTACTTCTCGGGAGCAAATGAGAGTAATGCGCATGGTTCGGTACGATAATAATTCGGGGTAAAAAGCAAAGCTGAACCGAGGAAGGCTTTCAGAGTGGATGCGTCTTTTCTATTGTGCCAGCCAAGCCGCGTGAAATGACACTGGCTGATTAGCTACATTTGTGCACCCTTCATGCGTTCCAAAAAGTAAACTTATGTTTCGTGTCGTTATGAAAAGAGTTTTTACCCTATTTTTAAATGGTCAGTGTTTCCCTAATCATAATAGGGAAGATGCAATATTTTTATTTTTGTTTTCATTTTAAAGAATTCCATGTAGAATAAACCACAGATATATTAAAAAATTAAAACATTGTAATTTATCGGAAAAAATGCGGTTTTAAATTGACATTTTAAATTTTCGCGCGAAAACGGACCTATGGTTCCGATGACGTCTCTCCTGTCTGTCACTGGTCGTACTTGTTTGTCGCTGGCTTTAAATTTTCATACTTATGCATATTGTTTCGACTTTCGAGATATTTTTTTTGTAAAAATAATATGGACCATCCATCAACATCAGGTGATCATAACAATACCACTAATATTCCGAAAAAAGCCGTGTTGACTCATGTTTTGTGCTAATGTGTCCATTTACTTCAATAAAATTTCCAAAATGACGTCGAAAATAGGATAAAGTTTAAAATGTGTGGCACACTCTACACATTGGCAGGACTGAATCAAACTTTGCGTTTAATAAAAATAACTGTAACACGATGACCTTCTTTACGTACTTTATGCTCCGGAGTAACTTGACTTTTTATTGTACATAATTCTTCATCTCTTTTAATTTGGACAGAGCCGATTGCGTTATCGCCGTAAGATTATCTTGTTGAGCCGAAATAACTGCTACGATGAATAAAATACAAAGTTTAACAACTATGATTTATACATACTGTAGTCATTTAGTCCCTTTCATTTCTATACTTGAAAACTCTGTACTTTGGAAAAACAAGACAAACATGTCAACACTAACTCTTGGTAAATTCCTGAAGTCTGCTTTAATAAACCCAACTTCTATTTTTATCAAAAAACGCAATTAATATTCCCATAAAATAATATTCACTTTTACAAACGTAACCTCAAATAAATTGTCATAACACGAGTGACGTCACTAAACGCTGATTGGTGTTTTAAAATCGGTTTTTTTCAAGTAATTTTTAATTCGTATTTATTGTTAAAAAACAACATTATGTAAAATAAAAACGTTGCAGTAGCCTTTCTTTTATATATTTTTTTAACATTTAATCATAAAATTTTCATAAATATTATATTTGCATCTTCCCTATTTGATACTATAAATCTAAATAAATGAGATTGACTCTGGCTGTTGTTAAAGTTCTAACAAGGAAATTTATATCATAATTTTATTAAGTAACTCTTTACCAATAACTTTATTGAAATTACATTTTTTTCGGGGAAGGTAAAAATCAAGGGTCGGCAGTAGTCGTCGTTAAAAGTTTTAATTGCATTTCAATCAAGAAAATTTTACTGATGAGTATATTTTTTTGACGTTTGGAACGTGAAAATTAATTGTTTTCTAACTATGTAACCTTTTTATTTTCGATTTCGGAATATTTTAATTGAACGGTTTTATGAGACTAGAAAGATATAATCAAGGTGTATATGAGGTGTTTGGTTTACTCACCTTGATGACTTTCCAGCGAAAATTGAGTACAGTAAAGAAAATCTGGTTTTACACTCAAATTGGAGCTATATAAAAAACTGTAGGGAAATAACATGACTTAAATAAATAAAGCCTCGACTAGGCAGCCATATTGCAAATCATTCTCCATTAGTTAGAACTTTGAAACGAAACAGTACCTAATTGACATTTTCGTTAAAATACATGTATAACGGATAGCAGAGGCTGGTTTGCTGAGGTTTAGTAGAAAATTTTGAGTTTTCAACAAACATTTTATTTACAAGATAGAAAAGTGACAAGTGAAATAAAAAAAACCGGCCAAATGCCTGTCGTGCCACGCGCAGTGTGAGTTCCGTAGATATTTTATTTATCGTTTTTTATTTTATTTTTTTATTTTGTTTTTAATGCGAGGCTTTGCGCATTATAAGCAAGCATTTACTTCATCTAAGTCACTTTGAATGCGTCTAAAGAATTTTTATAAAGATATTTCCTAATACAAAATTTGAACAACTATTACTGTTAAAGTATCTGATCTAGAGATATTTTTTGAAGTAAAAATTTTCTTTACATTTAAACAAATAGCAGTTAAATGCTTTAAAAAATAAACTTATATTAACCGTTATAATTTTTCTTGAAAATTCATAAAAAGCACTATTAAAATGTTTTTTTGATGTTTCAAGCTAATAGTTAAAAATTTAGAGGGGCTTACTAGAACAAAAATTTGCACTTTAAGGTTTAATATTTCACAAACAGATCCCTTAATCGAAACATAGTCTTAGCTCCCTTTGTAATTTTTAAGGACCTATGCAACGATACCTCACACGATGAAGTAGACAATGAAGAAATCATCATCCCATGACATGTAGGTAGCTACCATAAAAAAAAAATGCTAAATTTTATTCTATCACTTTGTCTGCGTGATTAAAATACTACCTCTACAAAATTATAGCTCTCTAGTGCCAACAGTCTCCAAGCACTACCTCGGATGGACATACAAGCAGGTACACGGACATGCAGACAGAAAGCCGGACACGGCGAAAGTATATTATGTTTTAAATTACTTTTTTTGCAGTGATGTTGGTACGTTATGTGCAAAATTGTGTCTTGGTTTGGATTTAACTATTCTAGATCATAATTAATTGGTTTATAGTGTCCTGGGAGGTTTAATATTGTAATTTTAATTGGATTGTATTATCTGTGTATACATACCTTCTAATGTGAGCATAAAAATAAAATGTTTTCTTTTAGTCCTTATTTTCATATTTGATAAAATAAAGTATTATTTTGTTGTTATGTAGATAGAAATGCACTCAGAAATACCTTTTTTGTTTTTCTATTTACCTTCGATGGATTGTGAATTGTGAATATTTTTATTTCATTTTAGTTTCCTTTCTAGTTAAAATACAGTTTGTTTTATTTATACATTGATAGGGACACTGTATTTACTTTGAACGGGAATGAGCGTTGATTCTGCAACTGTTAACGCTCATTCCCTTCCCTTCCCTTCTTGTAAAACTATAGCAGATTAACGTTTTATGATTGTTGTACAGTGAACTTGTTCCAAATAAAGTTATTATTATTATTATATTTATGGTTCATTGTCAGGATTGCGGAACCCTAAAAAACAGAAAATCAAAGCATGAAAAAATATAAATGACACTGAGAACCACGAACAAGTCTTAAACAAGATGAATTGTAGGTATTGATCTCAGAAAACAGACCTATTGAACCTATCTAGTCGCAAAATGGGCCGTCATTGAAAGTTCTTAGGAAGTTCAGCTTGATTTATTATAAGCTTTACAAGTAATCGATTGATATTGTATTAAGAACTTAATTGAGTGTCTAAAACTGTTTTCGATTCAACCTAAATATAATATTTTACTAAAATACCTCTTAACAGGTTGTAAAGCGGCCGTTATGAAATTTTACATAGTAATTTCCAACTTGCACTTCAGAACTTTTTCAAGTACTGTGGTAGGAAAGCTATGATTCAATATACAGGGCGTCCCACGGCTACCTCACACGGAGGGAAAGTATATTAAATATTAATATAACACTGCATATTTTATGATAATCGTCGAAAGGGTTAATCATAAGGATTATTTTTTGCTAAATAACATATCATTTTAAATGAAAGGAATGTGAATTAATTGTGAATAAAATAAATTTTCAAGTGTCTGTTCTTTTGTTTTTCGTGAGGTTCATTTTCGTTTATTTGCAATTTTTTGTTAATTTACTTACCATGGCGCATCAAAATAAAATAGATTTAATGTAAGCTTACTTTATGAACCATAAAGACATATCATTAGCTTAGCGGTAGTACCGCAAAAGATATCCTGATAGAGACAAACCTTCTCGATATGTGTTTAAATAATGAAAGAAAGATAGAGATAAAGAAAGATTTTAATAAGCCATGGTAAGTAAATTAAAAAAAAATTGCAAATAAATATAAATGAAACTCACAAAAAAGAAAAGAACAGACACTTAAAAATTTATGTGTTCCATTTTCGAATTATTATTATTACAAATTTTTGCCAGTCGCACTGTAACTGTGAGTTCAAAAAGAAATGCATACGTACTACAGTTTGTAAATCACTTTATTATTTTTATCACGTAATTCACATTCCTTTCATTTCAAATGCTATGTTATTTAGCAAAAAATAATCCTTATGATTAACCCTTTCGACGGTTATCATAAAATATGCAGTGTTATTTTTTTCGAAATTTATCGAGTTTGATTCCCAGTTATAGCAGGCGATTTTTAAATCTGTGAATGCAGTTCTAGTTATTATTAAAAATAAAATGATGTCTTCTTTCAGTAAAATGTTCTATCTTCAATATTTAATATACTTTCCCTCCGTGTGAGGTAGCCGTGGGACGCCTTGTATACAATACATTGATAGCAGCAACAGCAGATGGTGATTTAAAATTACAAAAGCTTAAAACTACTAAATGTCTAAAAACTTAAAAACCAGAAATAACTAAGTACTTAAATAATATAGAAAGTTACAAAAAAAATATCACCCTAATAATAATAATAATACTGACCTGACTGTAATAATAAAATAAGAATGACATGGCCCCGGAGTTAGATTTACTAGTATCAGCATCAGTATCCTGGCTACATTTCGGTGACCTTGTTGGTGAAACCGAAGGTTTTGTCTGTACAATTATGGATGAGGTTGCGATGACGAAGAACTACCGGAGGTTTATACTAAAGGATGGCACATTGGATGTTTACCGTGCATGCCATCGCCCAGGCAGGAATCCCTTAGGCATATAATCTCCGGTTGTTCTCGTCTCGCAAGTGGCGAGTATTTGCACAGACATAACCAAGTGGCC